TGAGGGAGCTGAACCTCACAGATTAAGTGAGCTCCCTAAAGTCACAGAACTAAGTGCCTGAGTGGGATTGGATAAAGTTGCTATCACAAATAAGAAATGCTAGTCTGTGCCAGATACATTGTCTAATTTAGCTTTCGATCGACTTCACCATATATACTATTATACAGCATTGCTATAATCTCCAGGTCTCAGCTAAAGAAACTAAAATTCAGAGAGGTCAGGAAACTTGCCCAAGGTCACACAGCCATAAGTGGCAGAGGTGATGTAAGTCCACGTCCTCCCCTCCTACTTCTGTGCTAGTCCTCACTTCCTTCCCAACATTCCTGACAGCCCTTTTCCAGTGCTAGGGATGGGAATAAAGAACCCTGAAAATAAGTTAGACATTTTTATTTCAAGCATCTGGAAAGAGGTTAGGCTGGCACAAATGCTATCAATAAAAACCACAAGACCTAAAAATGTAGAAGAGTGGACATCATTAAAGTATTAACCACAAAAGCAAATTCCTGCCTGGTGTCATTATCAGCAGTTGACAGGATTCGCTTGCTGCTTCCACCTCATGGTGGGTTTGGGCTCAAATCAGCATAGAGCCAGCCAATGGAGGCAAGAGAGAATGAACCAGAAGCCCGTGGCTCCCATTAATAAAGCTACCATTCAACAGCTCCTCAGGTGGCCAGCCTCAACACAGAGTGACCATGACCAATGGCTGCTACCCCAGCTCCTCAACACACACACTCTCACTCACTCACTCCAGGCTCAGCAGGAGCCCTGTGGCCTGAAGCTACGCCGTTGCCAGGTGTCCTCGCTCCAGGGGCCTGCCCAACTTCCCAGGCCACAGTCTGGCCCTGGCTCCTGCAGAAGGGTGGGTGGACCTCAGGCCTGGTGTCTGCCGAAGACTCTGGAGGCTGCCTCTCAACTTCCTGCCTTCCCGCTGGCTTCCAACTTCCATACCCTTTGTTCCCATTCACTCAAGGATCTTATAGAAAAGCCAGATCACTCCCTGTTGCTAAAAAGGGGGGTTTTAACACTTGAGTAGGGGTAGAACTGCCAAATGTAGAAAAAAAGAAGGGAAGGAAGGAAAGAAACCCAGCAGGATACCCAGTTACATATCAATTTCATATAAAGAATACTTGTTTTGTATAAGTATATCCCCTTACAATATTTGGGGATATACTTACATAAAGCAGTTGTTTGTTGTTTATCTGAAATTTATTTAACTGGGCATCCTGTATTTTAACTGGCAACCATATCTGTTGTGGGTGGGGTAGAGTAGGAGGTATACAGAACAACAAATCAGGTGGAAAGGAAAACACAAACGGAGCTATGATAATTAAGGGTAGGAAGGAGGAAACATTCTTTACCCAGACTCTCTTTTACACCAGAAACATTCATGTGTTTTATTTCATTTGAGCGTTTCAGCAATTCTATGTATTAGACATGTCTATCCCCACTTACAGATGAAAACACAGAAGTTCAGAGAATCAATTGACTTGCATAGTGTCACATGGGTAATTCGTGAAAGGCAGGACTATAATCCACGGTTTCTGAGTATAATCTGAGTCATTTCTTCTATGTATGGCTGCTCTGCCAGGTGATACACCCTTACAATTTTTATAAGTTATGCACAAAGCGGGTCTAACAGTTTTCTTTATTTTCCAATACACTCATAAGGAAGAAAATGCTCAATGGCATCCTGGATTAATACATATTTGAAACACAGCTGTTCATGGCTAAAAAGCACGAGACCCATCTCCCCTTATTCCAACTAACCACACTGCCCAACTAACTAGAGTTTCCTAGCAAAGAAGAAGAGAAAGAATCACGAAAGGAAGGACAATGTTCCACCCAAGATGACCACTGCTCCCCATTTTTCAGATGAGGGAAGTCATGAGACATTTGACTCAACAAAGTCTTACAGGGGCCCAAGAGGAAAGGCTCCTTAATCAAAATGCTAGCATCCCATGAGACATCATTTTCCAGAAAATACAGCTGATGTGGTGCTATGTTTGGGACGGGGGGTGGGGGGGATTGTTTTTTTAAAAAGCTATTTGTCAAAAGTACAGTGGGAAATACTTTCTCTTCCAGCCCCTCAAGCTTCTAACATTCATGGCACACAATCAAAGGGAAACAGCCATAAAAATGACTTAATATGTGCCTTTTTTGAGGTATAGTAACTCTCGGACAAGTGACTATAAAAATAACACAGCTGAGAAGGTCTAGATTTATTTCTGCTTAGTGAATTTCCAGATCAGAATGCGCTCTGTTCATCAGCTAAGTTTGCTTTTGTGCTGTTTGGTTTCTAAATTTCCTTTCTTTGCACAGATGCTAGCAGATTCTGTTTATGATAAAACCTTGCCCACCTCACAATCCACATGCTAGTTCCTGGGGGAGGACCGGGTGCCTACAGAGGAAGGCAGACAGCCACGGGGATTCCCCACCAGCTACACCAGCCAAGTCTACGGAGATGGGACTGAAGCTATTTTCAGGGGCCTGGCTCTGCCGGCCCTGGTTCAGGCCTTGTTTACTTCCTTGCCTTCATTCCCCCTCCCTACAAACACTCACATCCAGGCACAGACTTCACAGCAGCAGACAGCTAACACTCGATCTTTGGGGCTACTCCAGTTTTCTTACGGAAGATGGCAAAAAAACCACAGTTCCCTGCCCCAGCCAGCAGCAAATGCTCCCAGCCTCAGCCTGAGACAGAAGGCAAGTATCAAATTACTCAGAGCCGGGTGGGGACAGATCAACACAGGGCAGTCATTGCAGACTTAATTGTCAGAGGTCTTTAGAAACATTTCGGCTGGAAGGGGACAGAAGAGGGGAAGAGCAAGTAAAGGACTTTTCATTTCTGTTGCTTCTGACAGAGTGAGCCCTACAAACAGGGCATCTTCTGGACTTTATCACCAGCCATGCTACAAGAGTCTCCTCTGTCTCATGTCATGGTGCAGAATGAAGGATTCTGAACATGAGGAAAACTCAATTTCATTTTGGATCTAAAATCTTTCCAAGGTTTCCTTTGAAAAGGCTAATTAAATTGATTTTAGGTTTCACTGTTTCTAAAATCTTCAATGTACAGAAAAGATAAATTCTGGTCAATAACATTTAAGTTAAGCATGATCAAGTTTTCATCTGTATTACATGAGGAAAATTCTAAACCAGGGCTTGAAGGCCTCACAGCTCTAATTGCACTTAATAGTCAGCCTGGTTTAACGATCCTCGGGGCATGGGCCTTATATAGCGGTAAGGGATTCACCAGCTGACAAGCAACCTCAGGATGAGCAAAGATGACTCGGAAATGGTGAGGGTCAGAAGGGCTGGGATCACAAATGCCAGGGCTGGAGGAGGGTGGTCTCACAGCCCACCTGCTCCCACCCTCAGATGGCAAGGCCAAGCCTGGTGACCAAGCTGGGACTAGCACATAGGACATCAGACTCTTGGTTCAGTGTTCCTTCCATCTCCTCCCCTGGTTTAACAACAACCACAGACCGAACACAGGCCTTGTGTGAAGGTGAAGGAAGGGAGCGGGGTGGGGTTGGGGCATGCTGCTATGAGTGCAAGGGCAGGTGTTTGCCCAAAGTCTCCTCTTCCCCACCCACAGCACGGTACGGGGCTCTACTGCATGACTCCGGGGCAACCTGTGAGAGGATTATGTAAGGGAAACAGCCCACCTGGTCCAGGAGTTATCAACTCACTCAGAGGCCTAGCAGGAATTTCCTGTTATGTGATCTGGGTCTTGCAAATAACTACAACCAAGCCAAGGCTGTCACTCTCCTCTAAGAGGACATGCGTGTTCTTGAGTCACTAGTTGCCCTGCCACTCTCCGCAGACTGGGCCTGGCTCTGAGAATGCCCACAGTCACCCACCAAGGGTGGGCCAGCTCAGGGGGGCAGCAAAACCCCAGCTCCAGGCTCTGGGGGGGCTATGGCTCTGCCCGGAGGAGGAACAGTCAGCAATGTGGAAGTCTCTGTACCCAGGGTCATGGGCCTGGTTTATAATGAAAACCTGCAGGTGCTTCTCCTTCTCCTTCTCTTTTTAAATGTTTTTAAATTGTAAGATACATATTACACACAAAGGAATACACGCAAACACATGCACAGCCCCTCAAGCGGAGCACAAAGCACTGCAGTCGCCCAGGGGCAGTGCCCACCCGTGTCCACGCCCCTCCCACCCCCCACCCACTCCACAGGTAACTGTCATGCTGCTGTTTGGGACCGTCATCCCTTGGTTTTCCTTATGGCATTTACCACTTGCATATACATCCCTCAACAGTACAGTTTAGTCTTGCCCATCAGTGCACGTAGGTACCTGTCTGCTCATTTTTATCTCAAGTACTCAACTGGATGAATATATTATATTTATCCATTCTGTTGTCTATGAGCATTCAGCTGTTTTCAGTTTGGGCTACTACAAATGATGCCACAATGAATACTCTTGAACATGTCTCCCGGTTCTCAATGCTGGAGTTTCTCTACGCTGAGCACCTGATAAGGAAAACACTATATATAGCACAAGAATGCACTCTTGACTCGACTGGTCAAGGCCCATCTGTGCACGAAAGCTGTGCGGCCTCTCCCTCCCTGAAAAACACTGACAAACCTGCTCCCCTTACACAGAGGAGGGCTTGCTGGTGACACAGAGGCCAAGAAAACTTAGTTCATCACCAGACAAGCAAGTTAAAGCTGCATCTCAACACCTCCATTGTAAGACAGAGCCTGAGATTTTAAAATTCTGAGCTGAACCAGAACCCACAAATGGCTGGGCTTTCCACAAGAAAAAAATGTCACCAACTCTCCCAAATGAATGAGTTAAGTAAGCATCTATGGTCTTGGTGTAGACTCCGCTGCCCAAACTATTTACTGTAAACAATAAATGCAAAAGTGTCCCCAAGATGTTCAGTGCAGAAAGACGGCAGACCCATCAATCCCATCTGCGGAGGGTGGGGGGGTGGAGGTGGTAAGTCAGAGAGGGTTCCTGGAGGCCGCAGGCCAGCTGCTCCCACGTACCTGTACACTGGCTGCATCTCCCGTGCTATGCCAATGATGGCGCCTGGCAGGAAGTTGTCGAACTCCTCAAACAATTCCCGGATGTTGGTCTTGTACTTGAGGTCTAGGTCCAGCTGAATTATCCGCAGGATCTCTGGAGGAAAGAACAATACAACAATGAGACAGGGACATACCTCCCGGGAGGCTCAGTCATTGACAGAGAATGAAGTGAAAGGTGCAGAAAAGTGTACTGGATTATTCTTGCTATCACAAAATAATGCAATGACACCACCAGAAACAAAGGCCCTTCATCTACCGGCAACCCCAGACTCCCTAGAAGCCTTCACAGAAGACAACTGCCTCATAGCTTCCCTTCTGGTTGCAGATATACACTGTAAAACTAGGTGACCAAATTCTCTAGTTTAGATGACTGTTTTGGTGCTTCTCTCTGCAGTACAGGTAGTAAATGACCCATAAGTCATTGTTGCTTCAGCTTTTTATTATTATTTCTGCAAATCTAGATATGTGCGGGGTTAGGATGCTGACCCAGAGAGAACCAGCTAAAAGACCTCAGATACTGTTATGTTTTTAATCCACTGTCTGAAGGCTAACTCAGCTATAATTAGACAGACACCTGGCTCATAAGAGCTGTTTGCTTCCATTGCCCCCAGATGACTGAGGAGCAAGAAGGGAGGAGAGAGGTGCTGAGTTCATTCTCCATCCTTCATCCAATGGGCCTATCGGAGTGTCTGGGCTGGTACTGTCAGCAGGGGATCAGACACCAGGCTGACTGGGCCCTGCCCTCAGGGAAGGACACAAAAACAGAGAAAGGGTACCTAGTGCTGAAGTGACATGGAAGAGGGGCCTCTCAGGGTCAAGTGATGATGGAGAGTAAGTACTCCGTCCTAAGGGAAGCCCTGGCCTGGGCATCAGACCACGTGAGAGCAGATTCCAGTTCTGCTGCCAATTAACTCTGTGATCCTGGGTGAATTATTTCACTTCTCTAAACTTCAGTTGTTTCATTTGCTAAAGTGCATATGATATGACAGGCCTGGTGAGGCTGTGATGCCGAGAAAACTAGATAACAGGTGGGGAACATCACCACAGCTGTAGATGCCACAGGAAGCCAGGGTCTGGAGAGGAGGGAGCTTGCTAGAGCTCGAGGCAGTCAAGGAAGACTTTTAGTAAGAACACCAGGCACCTGCCTCATCTCTCTCCCAGCCCTTCACCAGCCCAGATGCAGAGCATGGTGCTGTCAGGACCCACGACCCACGGAGGCTCCCTAAAGACAGGGACCCCCATCTTTGGCATCTCAGCCTCCATCCACTCACAGTGCAGGGTTTAGCATTCAGTAAATGCTCAGGAACAGCTGTGGAATTCAAAAACCATTATCTAGTTTATGGCGAAATCACAGATTATGATTCAAGAAAAGCTGATTCAGTAGTCCCTGTTCTATTTTCCTTTGTGACACAGAAACAAAACCTTAACTGACATCCCATGTGAGTCTTCGGAAAAAAGTAGGTGCGCATCCAGCTGCCCAGGCCAGAGGGCAATGGGCTGCTTCTCGGGCCCCTGTGGGAAGTGGGTGGAGGAGAATGGGCCCCAGGCCAGTGTGGACCCAGTGGTCAGCTTTCCTTCGCACTGCCCACACACGCATAAATGTGAGCAAAACTGTTGCATCCTGCACTAAACACAGCAATCACAATAACCACCACCTAGAGGCTGGGAAGGGTCCTGGAGGGCAGGAAGCCCTTGTGGGAAGGGTGATGAGCCTGCAGCCTGGAGGGCAGGAAGCATTTATGGTGATGTGGCTGCCTCCTGAGAAGCTGCTCTAAACCAGGACGGACAAGAGAGGCCACAGGACAGAGTCTCGGGGCACCTGCTGCTCTCAGAGGTGGCCCTGGACAACACAGGGGAGGAAGCTGATGGTGACCCTCAGGAAAGACACTGTATCCCAGGAGAGAATGTCCAGGCATGAGTAGCAACCATCAAGACATCAGACGGGCAGCCCCACCACACACACCCGCTCCAGCCACTTCTCACCTGTCTACTGGTGCATCCCCTGCGCCCCGAGTTCCCTCACTCAAGGTCTCAGGCAGCTCTTTCACAAGACAGAGCAGAGCCCTCATGAGACAGGGGCAGGGGGGCACCATCATCCAAGAAGAGAAAGCACAGTATCATGGGAGGAGGAGGTGAGAGACCTCACAGATGTCTGGTGCTAGTTTTGTGGCATCCTCAGGGCTGTGAAAGAAAAGGAACTCTCATTCTCATGGCCCTAGAAGACTTCCAATAATATGAGTGATGGCCACAAAAGAAGAACGCTTTCTCTGAGTGGTTTTTGAGTGTCTAGTATTACTACACAGGCGATAGTTTTAGTTCTCAAAACCACCCAACGTAAGTGGAGTTATTCCCACGTTTAGATGAAGGACCAGAGGCTTCTTGTTATAGTTCAGTTGCTAAGTGGTATCTGACTCTTTGTGACCCTGTGGACTACAGCATGGCAGGCTCCCCTGTCCTTCACTATCTCCCAGAGGTTGCTCAAATTCGTGTCCATTGAATCAGTGATGCCATCCAACCATCTCATCCTCTGCAGCTCCCTTCTTCTCCTGCCCTCAATCTTGTCCAGCATCAGGGTCTTTTCCAATGAGTCAGCTCTTTGCATCATGTGGCTCAAGTATTAGAGCTTCAGCTTCAGCACCAGTTCTTCCAATGAATATTCAGAGTTGATTTTCTTTAGGATTGACTGGTTTGACTCCTTGCAGTCCAAGGGACTCTTCAAGAGTCTTCTCTAGCACCACAATTCGAAAGCATCAATTCTTCGGCACTCAGCCTTCTTTATGGTCCAACTCTCACATCCATACATGACTACTGGAAAAACCATAGCTTTGAGTATATGGACTGTTGTCACCAAAGTGATGTCTTTGCTTCTAAAGGTTAAAAACAATAGCCGAAGTCTTTCAACCAACAAGTGTCAGAGCTGGGATCTGAACGTAGGTTGGCTTGACTTGAAAGCTCAGCTACTCTTTCCAGTAGCCCCTGATTCTGCTCTGAGGAGAGAGGAGTTCCAGGGAGGCAGATTTGGGCTCCAGTGCTACCTGCATAGGGGCTGGGAGCACACAGAAATGCCAAAGACCTTGATAGACAAAAAGCAGAGTGACAGCCTGCCCAAATGGGAACTACGTGGATGTCCTCTACATAAAAGTAGTTCATTATAAAGAAATTCCTGATAGAGGGGCCGTTCAGTCTGTCAATCAGTCATTCTTCCTTGAAAGCCTACCATGTGCTGTGTGTACTCCCTGGTTTTTCAAGATCATCTAAATCCCACTTAATCTGCCCAAAGCAGCCGGAATACCTCCTTCCCTGGCCTGTCTGGACAGGTCCCGGGCAGAGGGCAGAGCTCAAGGACATGAGATATCTCTTGAGGAGACCCAGTTCCTGCACTTGAGCAGAGCCCTGGCCTTAATACACCCCTCAATAAATCTGAGCACCTTCCCAGTCCTTCAGGGAATGACTGGGAGTGAACTTGGAAAGATCACACACAGCCAGAAGATATATGAATTTGAGATGCTTTAATATATTTTGTAACTCCTCCTTGGTAAGGCACCTTTCAGGAAGGGTGTGCTTAAAATTGGGAACACTTCTTTCTTTTTTTTTTTCATCCAACCATCCTCTTTTTTTTTAAATTAATTAATTAATTTTACTTTACAACATTGTATTGGTTTGGCCATACCTTAACTTGAATCCACCATGGGTGTACATGTGTTCCCCATCCTGAACCCCCCTCCCACCTCCGTCCCCATCCCATCTCTCTGGGTCATCCCAGTGCACCAGCCCCGAGCATCCTGTATCATGCATCGAACCTGGACTGGCAATTCATTTCACATATGATAATTTACATGTTTCAATGCCATTCTCCCATATCATCCCGCCCTCGCCCTCTCCCACAAAGTCCAAAAGACTGTTCAATACATCTGTGTCTCTCTTGCTGTCTCGCATACAGGGTTATCATTACCATCTTTCTAAATTTCATATATATGCGTTGGTATACTGTATTGAAGTTTTTCTTTCTGACTTACTTCACTCTGTATAATAGGCTCCAGTTTCATCCACCTCATTAGAACTGATTCAAATGTATTCTTTTTAATGGCTGAGTAATATTCCATTGTGTATATGTACCACAGCTTCCTTATCCATTCGTCTGCTGATGGGCATCTAGGTTGCTTCCATGTCCTGGCTATTATAAACAGTGCTGCGATGAACATTGGGGTGCACGTGTCTCTTTCAGATCTGGTTTCCTCGGTGTGTATGCCCAGAAGTGGGATTGCTGGGTCATATGGCAGTTCTATTTCCAGTTTTTTAAGAAATCTCCACACTGTTCTCCATAGTGGCTGTACTAGTTTGCATTCCCACCAACAGTGTAAGAGGGTTCCCTTTTCTCCACACCCTCTCCAGCATTTATTGCTTGTAGACTTTTGGATAGCAGCCATCCTGACTGGCGTGTAATGGTACCTCATTGTGGTTTTGATTTGCATTTCTCTGATAATGAGTGATGTTGAGCATCTTTTCATGTGTTTGTTAGCCATCTGTATGTCTTCCTTGGAGAAATGTCTGTTTAGTTCTTTGGCCCATTTTTTGATTGGGTCATTTATTTTTCTGGAGTTGAGCTGGAGGAGTTGCTTGTATATTTTTGAGATTAATCCTTTGTCTGTTGCTTCGTTTGCTATTATTTTCTCCCAATCTGAGGGCTGTCTTTTCACCTTGCTTATAGTTTCCTTTGTTGTGCAAAAGCTTTTAAGTTTCATTAGGTCCCATTTGTTTATTTTTGCTTTTATTTCTAAAATTCTGGGATGTGGGTCATAGAGGATCCTGCTGTGATTTATGTCGGAGAGTGTTTTGCCTATGTTCTCCTCTAGGAGTTTTATAGTTTCTGGTCTTACATTTAGATCTTTAATCCATTTTGAGTTTATTTTTGTGTATGGTGTTAGAAAGTGTTCTAGTTTCATTCTTTTACAGGTGGTTGACCAGTTTTCCCAGCACCACTTGTTAAAGAGGTTGTCTTTTTTCCATTGTATATCCTTGCCTCCTTTGTCGAAGATAAGGTGACCATAGGTTCGTGGATTTATCTCTGGGCTTTCTATTCTGTTCCATTGATCT